TGTAGGGATCTGGTTGAAGGGTTCAGGGGCCAGCAAGCCCGGTGTCAAAAAAGCTTAGGGTCCGTGCTTGGCTTCGAAAGGATCAGCCTGGAAGATTCAGAGGTTTGACGTGTTGGTTTGTTGTTGAGAGAAGGGCTCAGGGGGAAGCCCGGTCACAATCAGATAAGTCTTGGCGATCTCGCATGGTAACTTACAGCGAGTTGCCATGCATTCTGTTATGCATTAGCGTGGTTCTTGTTAAGGGTTCTCCAATCCTTGGGTTAGAAGGGAAGCCGATGCCGCAACTACAACCCTGAAGTCCTGAGATTATAGGGCCTTACGATCTGGAACCAAAAAGGCACCCAACCGCAGGTGGGATAAACGTAATATAGGGCCTCAATAATGCCCAGCATATGTATATACATATACACACACACACACACACACACATATATATATATATATATACATATTTGTTTTGGGTGGGGGGGGGGGCGGGGGCAGCTCCATATCATATTCATTGTATAATATACTCCCTACCCTATTCTAATTCTTTATATAAGACCCCTCTACTACTTTACGTGAAATACTTGCGTACTTCAAAGAAGGGGGCATGGGGGATCGTAGCCTTTTGGTTCTTGTTTGCAGTTTATGTGCTGCCTTGGGCCCCAATAGGAGTTAAGGGCTTCTGCAGGTTAACGGCTTTTAGACGTATGTAGCTGATCGTCTGAAGCTCATTATCACGAAAGTTTTAGACCCGGTAGTGGACTCCCCGAAGCATAATGTGGCTGACCTCCTACACTGTCGGCTACCAAAGCCGTTGACGCCACAACGATGGCATGCTTCTACACCAAACGGCCCGACGATTTATCATAAAACTCTCAGAACCCCTAAAAACCCTAAACCCTAAATCCTGAACCCTAAACCCTGATGTGACCGAAAACCAGATCTGACAGGTCCTCGATGTCGAACTTGGTTACCGCCCTCCGTTACACGGCTGACAGCCCCTTTGCTAAATCGGCCCCCCCCGAACCCTCAACCGCAAGCTCTGTTCAGCTTTAACACCTGTATCCCGTGCATTCTACTAGAAAGCACTAGACCCTACACCTGAAGCCTAAGTTCGTCCAGGAAGCGTAGCCGCATGATGCCCAACCAAGCCACTGGCCAAACAACCCCTGCTCGAAGAGTCCAGGAGTGATTACAAGCGGGCTTAACCCCGAACAGCTAATCCCTGGACTTGAGCACCTCGCGTCCGGTGATCCTTCAAGCCCGGGCGGTGTTTGACGTGTGCTGGTTTCTCGGGTTTGGTGTTTGTAAATATTGTTTCGCCAGCGTGGCGCTTGTCGAATCTGTGACATTGCTGCTCAACAAGGTTGCTGGCTTAGTGGTTTTCCAACGAGTGGTTTTAGGATCCAAGAGCTTCGGTGAGAGAGAGAGAGAGGGAGTGACAGCTATCTTTGCGAGGGATGAAAAAGAGCACAAACTTTCCTCAGACGTCAACGGCAGGCTTTGTGAAGTGTCGTTGCCTGGGTAATTTCAACAGGTTGTTGGTGGTATTACATCATAGCATGGTGTAGCAATATTAAGGCCTCGATGCCGGCTTCAAAGCCGATACTAACCCACAATCAAGCAGACACACACACACACACACACACACACCCGCAACTCACACACACACACACACACATGGTGGTGTGTGTGTGTGTGTGGAGATAGCAGGCACTAAAAGCAGACAAACCTAGGCACACGTCCATGTGTAAATACATCTAGACTTACAGACATTAATATACAGATGCAGATACAGGCCATGGTTACTCCAGCTAGCCAAGCGTTCCTGCGGGTGGTAGCTCCAAAACATTTGGACCCCAAAACCATGAGTTCTTGGAGCCTGCGGGAAAGCTTCAACTGTATCCAAGCCCTAAGCCCTTATCATCCTAATCCCTGAGAATGCACATTGCATAGGGCATAGGGCATAGGACTATACAGGCTTCACTAGTGTGTATGTAATATTATCCCCTGATAGTCCTTCTAGGATTATGTACTAATATGCCCCAAAACCAAAACCCTGTTCCAAATATTAAGGCGCGAAGATCCCGGTAAGATCTTGGAGACCCCGATCTCCAGTATCCTTTAAACACAATCGAACCCCAATCTCAAACATCCCTTGAACCCAAATGAACCCCATCTCAAAGATTCCTTAGGAAACATGAACTAGCCCAAGATCTCTTCGATAAGATTTAGAGCTTGTAGGGTGCAGGATCTAGGCTGATGTTGAAGCAATCCGACGTCGGACCGCCCACATAAACCACAAACCCCTAAGCCCTACAAAAGCTCTCCATCTGAAAGCTCTGGTTTAGGGTGCACGGTTGCTCTGATTCCCCAAAAATTTCTCTTTGGTTAGTAGGGAATGGAAGAATGGGGTACCATTATAACTACTATTACTACCATTCTCCCATTCCCTACTAACTAAAGGTAAGAAAAACCCTAGGCGCCGGACCGTCAAGCTTCTTCCCCCGCGGCCGGCCGCTGCAATTCGAGGAGTTTGAGCTCGGCACCCAAGTGTCGTTTAGGGGATTTATGGGTTTAGGGGTTTAGGGCCCAGACCTTCCAAAATCCCTTAATTAAGGAATATCCCTTAAATTATAGTAGGACCCTTAATATGATTTAAGGTATATTCCTTAATTAAGGGATTTTGGAAGGTCTGGGGGTTTAGGGTTTGGTTTTATCCGGTGGCCTTGGCTTCAAAAGAAAAATGCTTCCATGCAAAGGGTGCTATAAGGATTTTTCTAGGTTGTGAAAGGTTTTCTTGGACTGCTGTACCATGTTTCGGGAAATTTTGTTCAAAGTGTTTCAAGCGAGGATTCTATAAGCTTTCTTGAGGTGTTCCGTCTTTCGATGTGGCTTCTACGAAGTTTCCACTACTTGTCAGGAGGGCGCTGCCAGGGTTCGGTGTTGTATTTACCTGGGCCCCAAAAGTATGTAGAATAATGGCCCTTATAGGGTTTTGGGCCATTATTTAACCTACTTTGGGGGGTTTAGGTAGGGCTTCCATTTAGGTGCAGTTGCCCTTCTGCGCGACTGCGGTTAGTAGTTAGTAGCTGGGGTCGAAGGGTTGTACTCGTGGAGTTCTGCAAAGTGCATCTTCAAAAGTTGTATTTTAGGCTTCACATAAGCTTCTGGATATTCAGCGAGTGCTTACTTTCGGGTTGACTTGAAGGAGTCTCATTCCGTGGCAAACTGACGGCCTCGATTACAGCCGATTTAAGCTAAACCCTAAACCCTATAAACTCTAAAGAGCCCCAAGCCCACACGCGCGCGCATCTGGGCTTGTGCTTTTCGTAGGATTCTGCTATCTTTCGGTGATTTCTCTTTCGGGGCAAAGGGGGTTCGCGGCGGTGAAGGGGGGGGGATGGTTTCGACCATGTTACACAAACCGACCCAAAACCCCACTATTGCCGCGTTTTCGCTTGTTTATACAACATGTGGAGGAGGTGTTTTTGTTGCAGCATCTTTGCTTCTTTGCGCAACATGTTGCAGGAGGATGTTTGATGTTCGGCAACACGAGGCGCTGTCACAAGTGTTCATGCCATTTTGCAAGCATGCCCCAAAAGCTGCTATTTACAGCGATTTGGGTCTGGCGCTCGCAGTAGGATCCCAAAGCGGATGTCGCGGATGACATGGGGAACATGCGCTAAAATGAGTAACCCAAGTCTTACTTCCTGGTTTCCATGAAGCAGAACTCCCTCCGTTTCCACTGCCACACGAACGAAGTCATGTAATTTACAGCGCAAGCCGTTCATGCCCAAAAACATACAGGCCCGCCGCCACGCGGCCAGATATCAAAGTGTGAAATAAACCCTAAACCTCTACAGCCCGCAACCCTAAAACCCTAAAACCCCCAACCGCACAAAAGTTCTCAGCACCGGTCCTTGTTTTCCATAGTAAGTACGCCACTCTCGTCTTACCGGGCCCTAACAACTGGAAGGAACCCCACGAACATCTGCCACCCTTCAACCACAAACCATTTCAACCCTCAAGCCATACACCGTTAAACTATTTAAGCTGTATGTGCTTCAAAAGGTTGCATGCCGCGCAGCATCACCGGAAAGCGAGGAATCTTCAGACTTTTCCTTGGCAGTAGGGCATGTCGGGACCGGAGCCCCCAATGGCTTCGATTGATCGCTTGCGCATCCATGCTCGCCTCTATATCACCGTCGTAAGACTGACAAGCCAGCTGCGCTGCTTGGCGTCAATGTAGAAGATTTGTGTTGTTTTACGTTGTCGTCAATGTTGTTGATGTTGTTCTGCTTGTCGTGATCGTTGTTGCTGTGGTGTTGTAGCTGTTGTTGCCGCATTTACTGCTGTTGCTCTGTAGTCGGGGCTGCGAAAACACTTCGGAATGGTTCCTCCATTTGCCATTAACATCTCCCTTTTGCATTGTTTGTTCACTAAGCTTGTTTAGTCGTTCAGTAGTATCTCTTGCTCACAAGTGTCTGGCTTTCTTAGCCTGATTAATATCTCTCCCGTTGCGCATTGTTTTCCTGCAAAACAAGGAAAATAGTGCAAATAGAAAGTGTAGAACAAGAGCCGTAGAACACGCAAATGACGCCTGATGAAAACCATGAACATGTGTGATCTGAAACACAAATTTAGCGACGAACTACGGATCATATTGATGCTAATGACATAAGTTTTCAGCTAGCTATCGCAACTTCGCGCGGACGAGATTTGGCACTACTTTTCTCACAGACCAGTCACAAACCCAATGGCTGTATTCTTAATTATTCAACACCACCTAAATGTTTCCTGATGTTTTTCTTACTGTAATACTAGTAGGAGGAGGACAGGCTTGAACACGACAACCCAAAATGCGGCTCAGGATCAGCACATACTGGGAGAAAGCGGACTGTGCCGACCAGTCAGACCTCCGAAGGCTCGCAGCCCCGGTCGCGTCCTGGATCGCCTTCGGCCCTCCGGGTCGGACTCCGACGGTAGAAGAGCTCCAGCTAGTGACGAAGTTCATGAACAAGATGGATGAGGGGCCGTTGCCCCCTCGGTTGAGCGATGTCTTTTGTGAGATGAAACGCCGGCTCCTGTCTCTCCCCCGACCCGCCGATGAGGCTTGGAATGGGGCAGAGAAGCGGCTGCAGAAAAGCTATCGGAAGCTGCGCCGCCGCTGCAACGAAGCAGCTGCACACGAAGCGGTTGTCGCTGCCGATGCTGATCTCGCTGGTGCTGAATTGAGAGCCGAGCCGGGGGAAGCTATGCAAGTCCGTGAAGCGGACGATTCCGGCTCTAACCGTGTATCTGCCCAGTCTGATCAACGCTTCATGTTGTTTCGCAAGATGAACGAGTGGGGCTTTCTGGACAACGCTCAGAAGCTAGAACGCTTGCAGCAGGCCGAGGAAGCATCAAGGCACTCACGGAGCAGCTTGAGCCAGGAAGAACTGGCAGATGTGCTCAGCACGGCGGCAGCTTGTCTTGCAGCTCCGCGCAGACATGCGAGGCTGCAGGATGCTGATGCTAATGGACTTGGCGACGGCAGAACTGCTTCGGAATCGCAGGATCCGACAGTGGATGTGCAAAAACGAATTCGGTCGTTGTTGCTGCATGCTCTGCGTGTGTGGCAGATGAACCAATTCGATTGTCAAGCCATCGAGCATGTCCTGGACTTCGTGCAACAGAAGATCAGCAAATTCGAGAAGAAGGTTGGGTAGATTCAAGGTGCTGCTGCGGGGAGGGCTTGGCTGAGAATCAAGCAGACGATCGACGAGTTGCTGCTCCGGGTAGGGGCGCCCTCGGACCCGGATGTCAAAGGTGCAACAAAAGCCCGAGCAGAAGCTACTGGCAAGCCTGGCAGGCTCAATGGACGACAGGAGCGCCAGAGCGGACTCCAGAACATTTCCTGGAGAGCGGACACAGGTAGCTGGAGATGCATGTGGAGTTATAGAGAAAATGGCATTTACAAAAAAGCAGCGCGCTTGTTTCCAATTTCCACGTTTCTGGAGGAAGGCCTTGGTGAGGAGGCAGCAGTCGAGGCCGCGCTGCAGGAAGCCAAGGCCTACCGCGAGGAGCTCGTGTGCCAGGGCAACTTGAAGCCCCCGAAGCCGAAATGCCCCGGCTCAACTGTGAGGGGTGTTTCGTTTAACCAAGGAACCCAGAAGTGGCTGGTGCGGTTCTACGATGCCGCCGAAAGGAAAACAGTGCGCTATGGTTCCTTCGATTCCAAGGACAAAGCCGAAGTCAAGGCCCGGCGGATAGCCAGGCAGCTCGGGGTTCCAGCAGAATACGAGGTGCGGCCGGCGAAGAGACAGAAGCAGAGCTGAGGTGCCTTGAGGAGCTTGGGACTGACAACGATTCAGCCCGCTTACACAATGCTGCATCGGAGCCCAAAGCGATTCAGAGTTTACAGTTCAGTAGGGTTTCGGGTTGTTGGGGTTGCTATTGCTGAGTTCGATGGGGCTTAAGAGAGCCTGACAGAATACCCGATGCCGTCTTGGTGCTGTCCCCGACTGCGAAACGTAAAGGTTTTACGTGCAAGATGCTTTAGGGCTTGATCGTATGGGAGGGTTTTTAGATTTCAAAACGGTTGCCCAAGTTCCTATGAGCGAAAACTTAAGGCCAACCACGGTGACTTGTCCTGGACTCATGCCGTTACCTTGTTTTGACTATTACAAAGGCACTCAGAGAGGACCTGCACCCGTATCTCTAATGCATGAACGGTCCATAGACCGCTGTATATAGACCCTGAAGGCCTACCAGTTGGTTAGACGGTCGCTTTAGGGTTTCAGGCCTTGTGCCTGCAGGCTGAGCAGGTGTGGAAGCGAGAGAGGGAGAGAGAGAGAGAGAGAGAGAGAGAGAGAGAGAGAGAGAGAGAGAGTGAGAGCCAGAGAGATTGAACCTTAAAGCATAAGCCCCCTCAACCCGAAACTCGAAACCCAAAACCTGAAGCGCCGAAACCCCTAAACCCTCAACTCTCAACTCTAAGCTCAAGCTTCAAGGTCGGACTTCTTCCCGCTCAGCGCGCCGGAAGCCCTGCCGGTGTAGGGGAATGGTACGGGTTCTTCGAGGGTTTTGCATGTTTGTTGGAGTTTTGGTTTCCAGCTCTGCATCTCCCTCTCTCTCTCTCTCTCTCTCTCTCTCTCGCGCTCTCTCTCTATCTCTCTTTGTCTGTGCTTCTCGTGCCGATTGAGGGATTTTGGGTCCATTCCTTGGTTTATACCGATTTTCTGAATCACGGTGCAGGGTTAAACCCCTAGCCCTCAGATGCCAAGCTGATGCTAGCTGCTAGTGACCATGTTCAATATGATCATTGCTCTTCTGCATACAAATATTTTTCTGATCACTATCACTAATGTTATTCTTAAAAAATTATCAAGCTCACTAGCAGCAAATTTGGATTCTTGGATGCGCCCTGCGCCCTGGAACCTGCCCTAAACCGTTTCAGCGTTGAGGGGCTGGGCGGTTAAGGGTTGAAGGTTTAAAGCGTATAGTTGCAGGTGTAAGGGTCTGATAAGGGTTTTAGATGGGTTTAGGGAAGAACACGGGGACTTACTTTGGAGAATAAGGCCTTTGGGGATACTGTAGTCCAACTACTCATTTAGGGGATTCTAGAAATCTTAAGTTTAAGCAAGGCCGGGGTGAAGACTTTCAGGAGCTCACAGTCAGAGCCTCAAACCGACACTCAAGCCATCCAAACTACGCCTTTAAACCCTAAGCCCTAGCCCTAAGCCTTCGACATTCTTATCCCTGATCTGAACCCTCATACCTAAGCTGACTATAAGCTATTAGCCCGTAACCAACTCCGAGTCCTAAAATCGCTAGATTCATGAAGAGGCCGTGCAACGCTTTAAGAATACACCGTCGACCCGGCAGGGACCTTAAAATCTAAACACACTATCAACCTTCATTACACCATAGACTTGCAATGGACTTTAACTGGAGCCTGCACTAAATACACCCAGCCCCTAACAGATTCTAACAAACTCTAAATCGCAGAGGTCGCTGCCCACGGAGGGAGAACTTGACAACTTCTTTCGGCACTTGGAGGCGGCTTGCTGAAAGGGTCAAGAAGCAGTGGTACGGTTGATGATATAAATCCTGCATTACCCATCAGAAGGAATATTTGGGAACTATGGCATATTCCTTATTATGGGTCATGCAGGATTTATATCATCCACCGTAGCAGCAGTATCAGGCCTACAGCCAAAATAACATTTCGTTTCCCTAAACCCTAAACCCTAACAGTAGTGGCAGCTCGGGGACCCCTTGCTACTGTCCAGAAGACCTCATATGGGTGGTTGTCAAAATTATGGCCCCTTTTTGGGTACCCTAAATATTAGGTGCCTTATCATAATAAGGACCCAAAAAGGGACCATAATTTTGACAACCGCCCATATGGTCGAGCAAGACAGAAGGCCTGCAGCAACGTGAATCAGTGATAGGTGTGGCAGGTTACTTACGTTGTATGTTAATGCCCGGAAGGGCCTTGATATTCGAACCACTTCTAGTTCTACGGTTAAAGAGTGCTAAGTTAGTCACCTGTGATTTGTTGAGTCCGATGTCTGCGCCCCCGAAGCAGGCACGCGTTCGCGCCATGCCGACCAGCCGGCACGACATCTGCCCCTCGGTCAGCAAAGGGACGCAGGTCGAAGATGTCTTGCCCTACTCAATCCCGCACGACTATGCAATCTGCACGCAAACCATTTTTTATGTATGCCATGTCTCGTCCAGTTTAAGTGGTATAGAAATGTATACAAGGCCGGAGTGCGGTAATCAAGTGGCCTGCATAATTAAAAAATCCCGTTCTTGACAGTTCGCTGTAGTCCAACCATTTCCTCGGTAAGACTCCTACATTACCTCGAATATTAACCGAATGCACTCGACTGCGGTACTCCGGATCTCAAAAGGGTCCAACGCACCTATGTGGTAGAATATATCGTTTGTGTTTCTGTATTCGGAATCTCTAGTATATTACCTAAGCCCCTCTCCGATCATGTGGGAGATTCCGAAAATAGGGGACCCTAATTTAGCACCCGGAATAGAAGGATCCTTATTATAAGGACCCCAAAGTAAGGTACCCCTATGTTTCAGAAACTCCAAACCCTTATAGAGCCCTTTAATTAAGGGAACCTGTATGGTACCCTGATAGTAACCCTTTGAAGGGAACGCTACGGTACCCCCTAAGTAAAGCAAGGTACCCCTAAGTTTCGGAAGCTCCAAACCCTTATAGAGCCTTTAAAGGGACCCTTACAGTAACTTATAGTAACACTTTAAAGGAACCCCAAAATCAGGTACCCCTAAGTTTCGGAATCGTCCCATGTGGGAAAACAGGCCGCCAAGAGCCGAGGTCAAGAAGCTCCAGACAGCCCCGAAGTTCGCCTTTGGCGAGGCTTCCAGCGCCGTTTAGGGTTTTAGCGCTTAGGGGTTTTATTTAGGGTTTTTAGGGTTGTAGGGGTTTGAGGAATCAGGGGAACTAGGCGGAATTAGGGGTTAGGGTTGCAGGGTTTAGGGCCTTGTTTGTTCTTGAGTTTTCCCTATCGGGCTCAAGACGATTCTGGAAACGAATATTTCCAGAGGCTTTGAGGGGCCAACCGCGCAAGTATAGGGGTCGGAATGACGCTTCCGTCCACATAGAACCATAACTATGGACCATGACAATATCACAATATCCCCCATGCAAACCCTGTTGAAGTCAACTAGGTCCGTTGTTTTTTGTTTGTGCCGTTGTATCTTTGATGAACCTGTTATCTTGGTGTACGGGTGCCGCAAGGTGTGTCAGGGTTTCTTCATTTCTTCACATCTATGGGCCGGCTTGTTTACTGGTTGTTGTACGGTTTTGTGTGACCGCTTCATCCAGGTTTCTGGAGTTTTTGTCGGCTTTATAACTTCGTTTTATGGCACAGAGACTCCAGCATCACCTGTAGTTAGGGAATGTCTAACTCGTGAAGAAGGATTCTAATCATGACGGACACAAGATGCCTTACAAGCCTTAGTTCAGACTTGTTGGTATGTAGTCACTCTATGAAGTCCATCAGTGTCCATCGTGGGTTCTTCTACCAAGGACCCTACTAAGTATCGGCTTCTGTTGCCGAAAACGACCGAAAGGCTTAGGCCGAGGGCTTACAAGCCTCCATTGCTGGTCAGGGAGACCCGTGTCCTTCGTATGGATGCCTGCTTGGGGGCTTAGGGCTCATGATGCTTGCCGACTTTGAATAGTTGCCAAGGTCGGACGTGACGCACCTTTTTAGAAGACCTTTCAAACGGTCGGATCGCTTGTCGATGCAGCAGACATGGTGCAACACAGGCATCTGCAAGCCTCTTCCTTGACGTGCTTTCGGAATTCAAGGGGGCCTTTAACAACGGAAGCAAACGTTTGCAGAGTCTGCACGGAGCTCATGTAGTGCGGCCGAAGGCCGTGGCTCCGTTGCAAAGCCGCCGCTTGCATAGCCATGCTCGCCAGTATCACCGTCATGCATGCCAGTCCGTGGTGCTGCTAGGCTCGTATTAACATACAGGAAGGCGAGCCACTGAGTGTGGGGCCATGACGGTTCCTGTGAGCACATACGGTGTTTTCCGACAGGCTAAGCATGCCATTGATGCATAGACACCTGTCAGTGCTGCCAGATTCTTCCCGCCACCATCAACAACAACGACGATCATTGCAGCCACAACGAGCACCAGCAAGGCTACTAGCACCCGCACCAGCAATACAAGCAGCACCAGCACTACAATCGGCATCACACCCAAGACAGCCGCCACTACCAATACCGCGAGCATTCACGACGCAATCCCTGTCGCCCACGCCACCACGAACGACACTACCACTACCAACTTGACTACCACTAACACTATTGCCACTACCACTATAGCGTGTACTATTCACTATACAAGTAATACGACGACGACTACTGCTGCTTCAACTACTATACTACTACCACCACCACCACGACGATGACTACTACTACTACTACTACTACTACTACTACTACTACTACTACCACCTTCACCACCACCACCACGATGACTACTACTACTACGACTACTACGACTAATGTACTTCTTCGAGCTTGGACAAGTAAGCCCATGTTCCACTTCAGGATTGGCAAGTATTCACAGAAGGCCGACTACTATGACCAGTTCGCCCTTCGAAGATATGCTGCGCCAGTGGCATCCTGGATTGCCTACAGCCCAGCGGGCCGCGCTCCAAAGGTGAAAGAGCTGAAACTTCTGAAGAAGTTCATGGACAAGATGGACGGTGGGCCATTGCCTTCTCGATTGAGCGAGGTTCTAGCCGACATGGGAGTCGTCCTCCAATCTGCCGACGGAACTTGCAAGGAGGCAGCAACAGAACTACGGAAAAGTCTTCGCAAGTTGCGCCGCCGCTGCATTGAATCCGTGGCTGACACAGTGATGGTCGGCACAGATGGTGACAGTGCTGAAGCAGAGATGCAGGCTGCACAGGACGAAGTCGTACAAGTCGGTGAAGTCGACGACTCGGCATCTCCCGGTACTGCTGCCCAGTGTGATCAGCACCTTACGCTGTTTCGCAAGATGAATGAGTGGGGGTTTCTTAATGACGCCCAGAAGCTGCAGCGCTTGCAGCAGGCCGAGGAGGCAGCAAGGCGACCAAGGAGGAGCTTGAGCCAAGAAGAGCTGACGGATGTCGTGAATATGGCTGCTGCTTTCGTTGCAGTTCCTCGCAGGAAAGCAGCGCGGCAAGATGCTGATTCTGCATGCTCGGGCGAAGCTAGCGCTGCTGCGGAATCTCAGGGTACCCATCCTGATTTGCAGAGACGGGTGCGGTCGTTGTTGCTGCATGCCATGAAAGTTTGGCGGATGAACGAGTTCGACTGTCAGGCCATTGAGCATGTCCTGGAGCTCTTGCAACGGAAGATCAAGAAGTTTGAGGACAAGGTTGGACAGATTCAAAGTGCTGCTGCTGGCAATGCCTGGCTAAAGATCAAGCACATGGTCGACCAGATGCTGCACGTAGAGGAGCAATCGAGCTTGCTCGATGTGCATGGCACAGGAGCCCAGACTCATGCTGCGCGTCGCGCCAGGCGTACAGTGGAACGACAGAGCGGCATCGAGCACATTGCCTGGAGAGTGGATACGAACTCCTGGAGATGCCATTACTATACAGGCAGCATCAAAGACGGACGTAAGGAGGTAAGTCGCACATTTCCAATCACAAAGTTCCTAGAGCAGGGCCTTAGCGAGGAAGCAGCTGTCGAGGCCGCGCTGCAGAAAGCCAAGGCTTACCGCGAGGAACTCGTCCGCCAGGGCATACTGAAGCCGCCGAAGACCCACCGCTCCACGGTAAAGGGCGTTACTTTTGACAAACGGAATCAGAAGTGGAGGGTTCAGTTGTACCATCCCAGCAAAGTGCCGGTGAATGGTGGATCTTTCGGTACCAAGGAGGAAGCCGAGACCAAGGCCCGGGAGATGGCTAAGCAGTTGGGGCTTGAGCCGGTGAGGGTGAAGAAACTGTCAGAGATGATTCACTTTGACAAGCTCGGACCGGAAAATGGTGTATCTTGGAGCGTCCCGGAGCAGAGCTGGGTATCCTACGTATACTTCAATGGGGTCAAAACGAGTGCAAAGCGCTTCCGGCCCAAGGATCTCTCGAAGCAGGCTGTACAGAATTCCTGGGACGAAGCAGTGGCTTGGCGAAAGCAGCAGACACCTAGGAGGTAGCCGGCGCAGAAGCAAGAGTGACAATGCCAGCATGTACGAAAAGTGGCGAAACCAAGTGCGTCCATACATCCTTGTGTTTCAACCCGCTATTTAGCTGTTGTTGCTGTAGGTTCCCAAACGACTGGAGCCTACCGTCAATTCTGGATGCGGTCAGTTGTCCTTGCGCTCTACGTAGAGGTTCATGGATGGCTACAGGATGTTGCACGTCGTACCCCAAGTCATCGAATTTCCAGAAAGTCGTAATGCACTCATGAGATCTTAAAGTTTCTGATAGAGATCAGAAACAGATGGCAATGCACCCTGCTGAGTCAGTGCAGGACATTCGTACTCCTAAAATTAAAGGGGCGGAGGTAGTGAAACAAGGTGCGTTTGTGCATGTTCGTATGCCCAAATGTCTAAATATCATGTTCAACCGCATAGAACCCATACAGGCACGCAGATAATCATACGGAGTGCTGTCTATAGCCCTTGTGCTACAAATCTTACTAAACCTGGAATACAACCCACAGAAACAACAATGCTGAGTATGGCCTACAGCCCCTGCGCTACAGATCTTCCTAAACCTGGCCTACAAGCCATACAAACACAAGTATAGTCATGCTGAAAAATGTTATTCTAGCCCCTGTGCTACACATCCTAGTAAACCTAGCCTATAACCCATGCAGACACAAATCATCATACTGAGTTATAGCCCCTCTGCTACTATTCTTTCTGTGCTTCGCTTACAATCCTTCAGAACGCAAATAAGCATGCTATTTGTTGCCATATCCTTTGTATGCCTCTAGCCCCTCCAACACAATTACCAACAGAACTGATGTTGCTAGCTATTTCCTATACCGCCTGTACTTGTAATCATACTATGATATCCTACAACAGCCGTCATCAAGACATGTGTCAGTATGGTGCCAACCTAGGGAATATTGGTGTCGGAATGGTTAGTTGGTTAGGAATCCCCCCTTCCGTCCACATATACTTAGAGCAATATCACAATGTCCCCCCAAACATATTGAAGTGGTATCCACAAGTGTTGTTAGAGGTTAGAAAGTTACGTCTTGTGACCATGTCATGCGGGTTTCTGGAGGTTTATCTGCTTGAGATTCGAATCAGGGATTCCAGAGTCTCCAGTACCCGTTAATCAACGAATGTTCATGAGGTTGTATAGAGTGCAGAAGTATTGTCACCATGACGTAGTTGAGAGTCTTGGTATGTAGAAATTGCATACATGTATTATTTGATTTCGCAGGCTCTACAGGGATCCTACTAGTTAGGCTCATTATGAGGTTCTTTTACCGAAAGGCCGAAAGGATTAAGTTCAGGGTTGAAAACTCGAATCAGCGTTCTGGCTTCACCCGGACTTGCGTGGTTGGTCCGCAGGCAGCAAGGCTATCGATGCGGGCCTGTGTGCCGGTCGTTCAGTTCATACCAGCTCAATCCAGGGCTTCAGGTTAGTGTGTGTGGGGAGACTCGGGTCTTTTGTATGGACGTTTAATTAGGGGATGCTTGTCGAACCAGCACGGTTGCCAGTGTTGGACGTGGTGCATGTTTCTGGCAGACGCTTTATATAGTTGGATCGTTTGTCGAAGCAACAGACATGATGGAACACAGGCACCTGCAAGCCTCTTCATTGATTTTCGGCTGCTGGGGCGGAAGGACACCATTCAACACCACCTGAAGCAAGCATTTGCAGAGTTTGCACAGAATCCTTTCAGTGCTGTCGAAGCCCATGGCTCCATCGCAAAACTGCCGCTTGCGCAGCCATGCTTGCCAGTATCACCGTCATACACACCAGTCCGTGGTGCTGCTAAGCTCGTATCAAGATACAGCAGTGCGACACTGAGTGTTGGGCAATGACCGCTTTCCTGCATAATTGGGTAATCTGCCATTCACGCGCAGAAACTGTCCACTGGTAGCCGTCGCCGCCACCACCACCCCCAGCAGCAGCAGCTGGACAACCAGCACCACCACCAGCAGCACCACCTCCACCACCACAATAGCAGCAATGATTGGCAACACCACGGAAACCACTCCGTCATGGGCAGCACCACATGCATCAGCAAGGCCATCAGTGCGGCACCTGCATCGCCAGCACTAGTCAATGAGCATCAGCATTGCCATCACGACCGGCACCGTCCACCACCACTACTACCATGCACTACCACACGCACGATCCCCGCACCGTGCCGGTGATGCCACCGCGAACGATACTACCCCTTCCACTCTGATTGCGACTAGCACTGCGCCACCACTACTACCAAAACCTCCGTTACCATTACCACTACTAGACTAGACTACTAGAGCTAGTGCTACTGCGAGTGGGTGCTACTCTGCTACTACCTACCATCTGCTAGTGCGACAACAACAAGAGTAACCACCCCGACGACCGCTACCAGCACCACTCCCACTGCCAATGCCACAACCACTACCTAACCACTACCACTACTACTCGCACGACCACTACTGCCACTACCACTCCCACCACCACTGCCACACTGCCACTGCCAACTCGCACCATTGCTCTAGCGACGGCGACTACTACCACGACTGCTACCGCCACCACCACCACCCCCGCCACCACCACCACCACCACCACCACCACCACCACCACCACCACCACCACCACCACCACCACCACCACCACCACCACCACCAGTGCGAACCCCACCACTACTCCGACGACGGCGACGAATATCACCACTGCTACCGCCACCGCTACCACCGCACCACAACGACCATGACCGCGCACACCCTGCATCAGCACAGCCACCACCACTGCTAGCTGCTCGGTTATTGTTACTATTACTACTACTACTGCTACTGCTACTGCTACTGCTGCTGCTGCTGCTACTGCTACTGCTACTGCTACTGCTACTACTGCTACTACTACTACTACTACTACTACTACTACCTCTATTGCTGCTGCTACTGCTACTGAACTACTGCTACTGCTACTACTACTACTATTACTACTACTACGACCTCGACTACGACTACTACTACTACTACTACTACTACTACTACGACGACTACTACTACTCCTGCTGCTACTGCTAGTGCTTCCTGCAGATTCGCGTACACGCTCGGGCAAGTGAGCCCAGAATGCAATTCAGGATTGGCAAGTATTCGCAGAAAGCAGACTACTCCGACCAGTTCGCCCTTCGAAGATATGCCGCTCCAGTGGCATCCTGGATTGCCTACGGCCCAAATGGCTGGGCTCCAACAGTGAAAGAGCTGAAACTTCTGAAGAAATTCACGGACAAAATGGACGGTGGGCCATTGCCTTCTCGATTGAGCGATGTTCTGGCCGACACGAAAGTGGTTCTCGAAACTCTCTCGACAAGGCCTGTGGATGGAGCTTGGAATCAGGCAGCAACGGAGCTACGGCAAAGTCTTCGCAAGTTGCACCGCCGCTGCTTGGAATCCGTGGCTCACACAGTGATGGTCGGCGCAGATGGTGGCAGTGCTGAAGCAGAGATGCAGACCGAACAGGACGAAGTCGCACAAGTCGCTGAAGTCGACGACTCGGCATCTCCCGGTACAGCTGCCCAGTCTGATCAGCACCTTACGCTGTTTCGCAAGATGAATGAATGGGGATTTCTGGATGACGCCCAGAAGCTGCAGCGCTTGCAGCAGGCCGAGGAGGCAGCAAGGCGACCAAGGAGCTGGAGCCAAGAAGAGCTGACGGATGTCGTGAATATGGCTGCAGCTTGCCTTGCAGCTCCTCGCAGGCAATCGAGGTTGCAAGATGCGCATGCTGGAAACTCGGGTGAAGCTGAAGCTGTGCTGGAATCACCGCAAGGTGAAAGTACTGATCTACAGAGACGGTTGCGGTCCTTGTTGCTGCATGCCCTGAGCCTGTGGCACTTGAACCAGTTCGATTGTCAAGCCATCGAACATGTCCTGGACTGCCTGCAACAGAAGATCAGCAAATTCGAGAAAAAGGTTGGAGATATTCAAAGTGCTGCTGCGGGGAATGCTTGGCTGAAAATCAAGCAGATGGTCGACGAGCTGCTGCTGCAAGTAAAAACACCTCCAAACCTGCATGTGCAAGATGCAACAAAGGCCCAAGCCGAAGCAGCTCACAAGTTCAGGACAAGACAGGAGCGCCAGAGCGGTATACAGAACATTTGCTGGCAGGGACAGAAGATGGGCTGGCAATGCCAAATAGGCTCCAGATGGGGAGCTGTTCGGAAAGCTCGCTTATTTCCAATTTCCAAGTTTCTCGAGCAGGGTCTTGCCGAGGAGGCGGCTGTCGAGGCCGCGCTGCAGGAAGCCAAGGCATACCGCGAGGAGCTCGTTCGCCAGGGCAAGTTGAAGCCCCCGACGCCGAAAGCCCCCAGCTCAACTGTGAGGGGTGTTGTCTTTGACAAGACCTACCAGAAGTGGCGGGTGCATCTGTATCATCCCGTCGACAAGAAGAAAGTGAGCGGTGGCTTCTTCGCTGGCAGGGAGGAGGCTGAGATCAAGGCCCGGGAGATGGCTAGGCACTACGGGGTTCCATCCGATTTCGCAGTGACACCCGCAAGGAGAAGCACAGCTCAAGAGACTTGAGAAGCTGGGGAGCCACAATGTCTTGCCGCACCCGTGTGCTACTTAAAGGATCATCGGACTTAGTAACTAGGGTTATAATTAAAGTAACTGTACGTATAACTACTTATATCCCCACTTAGGGTACTTAGAACCATACTTGCTAAGTCCCATGATTCTCCAAGTACCCCGTCCATGCATTATGGATCTATTGGTGCCAAAGCAGACGCCGTTGCAACGGTCTTTGAGAAGGCGCAAGCCGGCCGGGGTTCGACCCTAAACTCTTAGGGGTACTTAGAAATAGTTTTTATTTTTTTTTGTGATAATCCCTAACAAACAGCTGAAATTGTAATAGTTGCTAGGGTTAGAGAGGTTCAGTATAGTCAAGTGAGCTGCTGAGGAATTTCCGCGCGACCCCCTGAAAACCTTCGGCCTTTGCTGGGTAGACCATGGCAATGGATGCAGTGTCCCAGAGAGAAGTGCTGGATTTTCATATACTTCATCGGAGCCAGCAAAGATGCAAAACAGAGTTCCTGCAGCGGATGGGCGAAAGCAGCAGTGCAGCGGGCACCTACGCGGAAGCCTGCGCACCTGCGCGAATGACCGACTTGGCCAGCATACAAGACACCTCGACGGCTCAGAATAAGGCCAAGTGCTTCTATACATCCTTGTGAGGGCAGCCCCCAGCTGCCAGCTGTGGATGCTTCGAGATACACAAACGAAGGGAGTTAATATGTGGGCCTAAATGGTTACTAATACTATTTTGGGGATTCCTGATTATAGTTGTATTACAACATAGCCCCAAAGCCGTAAGAAAGGCCCCTATGTTACCGTGTTCCGGATGCCGTCAAAAGCTGTGGGCCCCGTTTGAAGCTGCCTCGATGCTCCAAAGGAATCAGGCCTCCAGGAGCACAAATGGTGTCCATGAGATCGTGTTCGCTCTGAAAGTGGTCCGCAGTAGATCGCAATGGTTTCCGTTGTCATGCATATATAGCCTTACATAACTATGTAGTCAAACACATGTTTCTTTCTCTCCAGATTCTATATGTGTGTATATATATATATATATATAATATTTTATTTATTTATATGCATATAGCCGTATGTAAACATAGATGTAGGCCAAGCCGGATGCTTCAACTGGCTAGGGTCATGCAGTGTGTTTGTCTGTGTGTGTGTGTGGGAGCATACTCTAAACTAGGAGCAGCATTTTCGCCTTGCCGTGTATACCAGGGTCTGAGCCTGTGCACGAACGAGTGGATCTGTCTTTGTATCTGCTTATGCATTTGCGGATGCACTTTGCACTCCACACGCATTTACATGTTGCCTTACACATCCGTCAATCACCGTCAATCCATCCACGGAACTTTATACAAAATATATGCATATGTATACACACATACACACATACGAACACACTTACATGCATAATTACATACATGCGTGCGTACTTACTTGTTTGGCTTCTTTCATTCTGTCTTTCTTGCTTACTTAACTGCCTACCTGTTTACTGGCGTACTAGAATACTTGACATACACGGAGACAGGCAGACGTACAGACGGAAAGACATACAGACAGATAGACAGGCATAGATGGACCGAGCATATGATTTTGCTATGTCTACTACCATCACCATTTCGGCTTCGGGATGCCCAAAGATACGCATTAGATTGGGATTTAAGGCGCATGCACAAGTGAAGCCTAGGGCCTTCAACGCCTTGCTGAGTCATGGGGTTCGAGGCAGTCAGCGCAAGCGGTTTGTGGGGCCGTGGCCCCTGAGGCAAAGACCACGATCCATGATTTCGCGGGTTCAGTGATCGCAGTCGTTTAGGTTTTCACAGATGATAGAGGGGCCTTGATCAACATGTTGGTCTTGTGGGCGAAATGTTAGCATAATGTCTAGGTAGCAGAAGGACGAACCCCCAAAGAAGAGCGTTATTGATTAATCAGGCATGTTCGGCTAGGCCTTCGGTATTTGTGACGAATTGCTGATGGTTTTCCCTATAACGGTGCCAGTGTCACATTTGCCTAAGCTTTCGGATGATTAGTGTTCCTTTGTTCGTTGGCATCCTGACGGTACAAAGCCATCGGCGGAAACCGTAAAACCCATAAGGCCTGATACCTGAACCCTGAACATGCAACCGTAAACCGCAACATATGGAGCACGAAGAAGAGTTTGCCGGTCTGTAGATTCCTGAAGCCATAAAGGGAACTCCAGAAAGTTGGAATATGGATTAGTGGTAGAATCCCCTATAATTCACCTTAAAGGGGTTAGGATAATCATATTCCAACTTTCTGGCTTCTGCCATAAAGCCTCACCAGCTTTTTTTCGCCCGTGCTGGGGTGTGTAGACTTCGGCTTCTGAGCTGTTTTTTTGAAATATGCGGGTTTCCGATAATAGGGGATCCTAATGTAGTACCCTAAATAGTAGGATCCTTATCATTCTAGGGACCCCAAAGTAAGGTATTTTCGGAAACTCCCATATGGTTAGTTCAGGAAGCGAAATCGGAGAGCTTCATGCTCGGGGCTTGTGGAAACATACGGAATGCGTCATGGCCAGGTTTCTATGCTAAGGATCCCAGAATTTGGCCTTCATTTTTTTCCAAACCCCCGTGTCTTTCAGTACACTTGGGGTTGAGGTTTTAGAGGATTTGGCGGTGCAGGAGGCGCAATCGCAGGACAACGAGCACACCTGCATTTTCACTTATAGGGGCCTAAGACCTTTTCGGCCTACCTCTGCCTGGACCTTGCTTTTGTTTCCTGTTCTGGTGCCGGGCCAATGGTGTTGGAATCTGCTGTGTCAGGTATCCGCCGATGGTGTTCCGCGACCCCGGGTTCCTTCAAGGAGACAGAATGGAGCAGGTGTTTGGGCGGTCACGCCGATGTGAAGCCTGTTTGTCTTCGCAGGAAAAGATGGTGTCTGGAAACCGTCTCCAATGATGTCGGCTTGTTCTTGACTATTGAGTCTCGCTCTTGTGAAGTTGTGTTTACGAACGCTGTCACTAGTTTGCTTGTCGTATGGTGAGCCACTGGTGGGCCTATTGGAATTCCCACATGGCAATGGTACGTGCTTGTGTTGGCGCCGGTACTGTTGGCAGACAGACATGTTTTTGGATGCGCTATCGCCGAACCGGATCACAGTGTGCTTCACGCACGAAGCTCGTAGCAACTTTTGTTCATTGTCACAGCACGAGCAACCACAACGGCGACCACGACGGCGCGGCAGCTTCTGGTGGTAGCAACGAGTACCACTGCTCCTGCCACCACAACTACGTACCACTTCTGCCTGCTGCTGCCCTGCTGCTGCTTGCAATACTTCCACCAAAGCCACCACCACCACCACTTCTTCTTCTGCTGCCTCCAACTCCCCGAAGGAGAGTGGGAGCAGACGGCGTGGACGTGCCCGGAGGCGGCCGCAATGTTGAAGTTCGTTCCGGCCACCAACAGGGAACTCCAGAAAGTTGGAATATGGTTTCATGGTAGGATACCCTATAATTTACCATAGAAGGGTTAGGATAATCATATTCCAACTTTCTGGCTTTTACCTTAGCCTGAGTTTTCCAAGCGAGTTTTGATCTGAAATTCCAGCTGGCTCCTGTTACCTAGCAGTAGAGTAGGCAACCTGTTAACCCTTTTTGGGTAGTATAGTCCCGATATAACCCCTATGCAACCGAAAAGGTTAGCCATTTACATTTTTCAGGACGTATATAAAGAAATCATAATAAGGAACCCTAAAAAGGTAGGTTATTCAGGGTTAAGGTAGGTATTAAGCAAAGCTCCTCGGCGTTCAAGCTGAAATCCTCACTGTTCGAAGATTTGAGGCCAAAGTTCGGATTAGGGCTCGCAATGATGATGTCCGTGTCATGATCAGCCTGGCCAGAGTTTTGGGGTTTAGGGTTTAGGGTTTAGGGTTTAGGGTTTAGGGTTTAGGGTTTAGGGGTATTCTCGTTATGGCCATGGCACATAACTCAGGGGTGATGCCCTCTGCTTTTTACTGTCCGAGTTATTCTGGTGCCTGGATGGTTAGGGCGGGTTGGCTCCTTTACGATTCTGCAAAGGACCACACTGGCTTCGGCGATTATGATTCAATCAATCCAGAGTCCTGGGCCCCCCGTGCCATCCCACGAGGTAGGCGGGCGCTGCAGACTTGAAATACTGCAGATCCCATGAGTGAACTAATTCCAGAACCACACTTCGTGCTTCGTCCTGTCAAGCTGGTTTGCTTTTCTTGAGGTGAGGTATAATCTGCAGTTCTCGAGAGCTCGTTTCTTGTTCCTCAGCCTACAAGTCCCGCCAGCTTTCAAGTAAGTCTTGCATACACCAGCCAGATGGCTTCCGTTGCCTACCTGCACCTCCTGGTGCAATGGCAGCACCCTGCCAGGAAGTCTTAGGTTTGGTTTCCGGGGTCTGGGTTGGTTTATCCGAGTTTAGCTGGGTTCAAGTGATTCTCTTGCACATCCTCGGCCTTGGAAGCAGGGCAACCACTCGCCTTTTTGCGTGCTGTGTTCTCCTGAATATGAGCCACTGAGCCGCTGTTTGCTTAAATGCATACAGGTCACATCAGGCCACGCAAGGCCTTGCAGATGTTGGAATGGTTACACGCACTCAACTACAAGTCCTTTCCTTTTCAGACTTTGCAAATCGAGACCTAAGCTTCAAGCAACGGCCCCAATCGCGCGAGGTAGGTCATCCAGCCACAGGTGCTCACAATCCAGGGTCTCGTTAAGCCTTGAGCCCTGCACCAACTCCTCTTGAAACCGAGAGCCCGTGAAGCCCCAAACTCAAAGCCCACACCCAGAGCTAGAGTTCGAAGCCCAACGAGTCCTTCACCCAAGTCAGAAGCAACAGAGGTCCATGAACGAAGTGCGGGACAGCGCAATAGCTACCGTCTGCTCGTTTACGGCTGTCGGAAGGAAGCCGCAAAAGTGAAGCCCGAGAAATTCCTTTTCGTGTGAGGAATGCAAGCCACGGGCACAGCCACGAAGGCTCAGCAAACTCATTCGCATCGGGTTTCAGGACTACAT